TCTCATTCTATCTCCCCCTCTCTGTCTCTCTCTCTCTCTCTCTCTCTCTCTCTCGCTCTCTCTCTCTCTCGCTCTCTGCACACGCGCACCGCCGGTACATTAGCATCCCGCACACTTATAGTAGGACGGAAGGGTCGGAAGCTCATTGATCACGCATCCTGGCTTGTTCCACTCGAACACATTCACCTTCCCGCATTTACCTGCAAAGATTAAAGACGTGATTACTGTATACGCCATATTTTTCGCGTACAGATATTTTCACGAATTCAGACTTGACGGACAATTTCGCGAATGCTTAATTTCGCGGTCGGTGAATTATGAATTATTCGGCATTATTCGGTATGAATTATTCGCGTGTTGTTATTTTCGCGGTCGGGGACACGTTCGCGAAATTCGCGAAACTTAAACCACCGCGAAATATACAGCTTATACAGTACACAATAACGATAATAAGCGTGATTAATACTGGCTCGGTCCGCCCCTTTCCTTATAGCGAGGCGCATAATGTGAGCTGGGGTGATGATAGGGGGCGCTGTTGGCGTGGGAGGAGTAAGGTCCCTATATACAGGGAGGAGGTGAGATATAGGGACCCTAGGGAGGAGGTGAGAGAGTGCGCGAGGGTTAGTCTTAATAGAGGAATAGGCGATATAGAGTGGATGTGACAGGGGGATGGGGGTAGGTACTGGTATAGTGAGCAGGCGGTAATCAATGGTAGGAAGTGAGATAGGGGAAAAAACATTTTTTTTGTATAAATTCACAATTTTTGCCGTCACTTAATTAGCGATGAATTAAAAAAATATAATTCATCGGGAGCATAGAGAGAGACATCTCTCTTATGTAATGGATATTAGTTTGATTGAATTTGATGAGCAGTTATGTGGCAATGCCCTTTACAGTGTTACCCGTCCGTAACCCTAACAACAGTATCGAAGTAGTGTGGGTATTGGTGGAGATGGTGAGACAGGTCACGTATAGATTACTAACGCATAGGTTATGTATAGTCATGTTTATGCTTACACGGATTTATAGTCAAATCAAATTGACGATACTCTCAGTCCATACCTGCGTGATTCAAAATGTCGCTATTGAAGGGGTGTCTCCCGCCTGCGGATCCATCGCACTTGGATGGATGGATGGATGGATGGATGGATGGATGGATGGATGGATGGATGGATGGATGGATGGATGAATGGATGGATGGATGGATAGATGGATGGATAAATGAATGGGTGGAGGGATGGGTAGCTGGATGGATAGATGGCTGGATGGAGTGATCAAAAATTCGAATCCGATGGAAAAAATGCCATTTTTTCATTTAATCACGTAATTCCTTATTTCTATTACTGATGATTTGGATTTCATTATTATAATGATGCTCTAAAATAGTTAAAACACTCTTTATTAATTAGTCCAAGTTCTTTTATTGATTAGTTCCTTTATGTAATTCGTTATTTCCACTATTTGTAATTGTGATTTCTTATTCTAATGATGGTATTAATCCTTATGTGGTTAGTAGATTCAGTCATATAACATTCTGAATTAAATATCGTTAAAACACTCCTTAGCCTAACGCAGATTTAGGTTCTACTCTACTTTCATTGATATTATATATCTTTATTTCATTAAATACACCGTAATTCAACATAATTATACTTGTAGATATCTATGACCGGGTGGGGATGGGTAGTACGTTGTATCTCGACCAATGATAGCATAATAATTGGAGCGCGCTTTAGCGTGTATAAAGGCGCCGTAGGGCGTACCTAGGGCGTTTGTAATGGAAAGATGCCGACTTCAAATCCCAATGGCAGAAAAAATTCGTTTATTTGATTTAATTCTTTTCCGTTTTTCTTAAATTTATTATTGCTCTTATGTTATTCATTATTTCCACTTATGATTGTAATTTCATCATTCTTATGATGGTTTTAATCCATGCAGTATAGATAATGATTATAATTGAAATAAATTTATATATTAGGATAAATTACTTTTTAACGTAGATTTAGGTTCTACATTACTTTCGTTACTATTCTGTTACTCAATATTATTTTACCATAATTATAGGCTATATCTTCATTCCAATAAATCCACTTTAATACAACGTATTATCACAGGTATATATATATATATATATATATATATGGCGATGAACAGTACGTTAATTGTCTCTCAATCAATGATCTCGTGAATTACTGTGTCATTACGCTGCTTAGACATAATAATTCATCTAATTCTTGTGCACTTCTAATTATGTTGGCACGCACCACTCTTCGCTGTGAATGTCAAGTGTACGATTGACGTGTGACTATTTGTTCAAAACCCGTGATGTAAAGCACATATACATTATATTAACATATAGCACCGGATTTTATGTTGCTATAAATTTATTATTTGTAAATCACCTAACCATAACATATTCTTGCTGATGCCTCCCACACAACGAGATAAAAAATTCATTCTCTCTAAATACCATACATATGTCGTGAAATACCAGAATACAATATTTAGCTAAACTGATTCGTATATTTTTCTTCTGCCGCGACCACAATTAACTAAACAACTAAGCAGTACAATAAAGGCCACATAATTAGAACTTCCCTTCGCATACTACGTGTTATTTCTCACAGTATAAATTTTTATGTGAATGTTGATCATTTCACGTTGAAATTTTTATGTTCATGTAAGAGTTGACCGAGATTTAATCAATTATATCTAATGTCTCGATTTCAATTTATTTTTAAACAGAAATTTTATGCTGACGATCGGTTTGAGCAGCGCAGGGCAGGGCGCGGAAAGCAAACGTTGAAACCAGCTGATAAAAATGCAAATTACAAGCACCATAGAAGGAAAACAAGTATTGCTGCTGCGATCTTACATACGACGTTCAGGGGTCATCAGAGGAATCATTATTCTGGTCATTTTTACAGCATAGTACCAATGAAGTAAACTTTTTCAGAAGATTTTCAATAAGTTTCAGATCACGTATTCACGCTTGAGGTTCAATCACTGTAGGCATTAAAAGAAAAACCTTTTGCTCGCCGCACGCCAAGTACACAATATAAAAAACAGTATCAGTGGTGAGGAAATATCATCCATTCCAGCACGTAGGTCATCAATGCGAATGCGGTCTGGCCTCGATAGACATATCACAATATATGCGCATATCTGTCTACATATATAACTGTATATATCTGTATTATAATATTACATGTATATGCGTAGATGGTATGCTATCTACAATCATTATCGTATTTATATATCTATATATATATAATATTATATATATAAATGAATGCCCGAAACCCCCTTTGATAACAGCAAAGGACTAGTATATCCGTGAGACTCTCAAGCGTTTCTCTCTCTCTCTCGCTCTCTCTCACTCTATTTCTCTCTCCCCCTCTCGCTCTTCTTCTGTCCTTTTCGTCTTTTTTTGTCCCCCCCCGCTCTCTCTCTCTTCGTGCTGCTCGCACCGGCACGCTGTCATGACGCGACGGGGTGGCGTGAGCATTAGGCACTGGCGCAACAGCTTATAGGTAGGGACGGAAGGGTCGAAGTCCATTGTCACGCATCCTGGCTTGTTCCACTCGAACACATTCATCTTTCCGGCGCATTTACCTGCAAAGGATTAAAGACGTGATTTACTGTATACGCCATATTTTTCGCGGTTACAGATATTTTCACGAATTTAGACTTCGCGGACAATTTCGCGATGTTGCTTAGTCTTCGCGTCGCTGAATTATGAATTAATTCGGCAATTATTCGGTATGAATTATTCCGCGTGTTGCTTATTTTCGCGGTCGGGGACACGTTCGCGAAATTCGCGACAACTTAAACCACCGCGAAATATACACGCGTATACAGTACACAATACGATAATAAGCGTGATTTAATACTGGCTCGGTCCGCCCTTTCCTTATATGTGAGCGTCATAATTGTGAGCTGGGGTGTGATACGGGGGCGCTGTTAGCGTGGAGGAGTAGGGTCCCTATATAACAGGGAGGCAGTGAGATATAGGGACCTAGAAGAGGAGGTGAGAGAAGTGCGCGAGGGTGTTAGTCTGTATAGAGTGAATAGCGCGATATAGGAGTGGCTGTGACGGGGGATGGCGGTCGGTACTGGTATAGTGAGCAGGCGGTAATCAATGGTAGGAAGTGAGATAGGGAAAACAACATTTTTTTTGTATAAATCATTCATTTTTGCGTCTACTTAATTAGCGATGAATTAAAAAAATTATAATTCATCGGAGCATATGAGAGAGACATCTCTCTTATGTAATGGATATTAATATTAGTTGATTGAATTTGATGAGCAGTTAGGGCATGCCTTTACAGTGTTACCCGTCCGTAACCTAACAACAGTATCCTTAAGTAACGAGAGTAGCTGTGGGTATTGTGAGATGCGTGAGACAGGTCACGTAGTAGGATTATTAACGAAGGTTATGTATAGTCATGGTTATACCGCTTACACGTATTTATAGCTCAAATCACAATTGACGATACTCTGCGTCCCTACGCTGCGTATTCAAAATGTCGCTATTGAAGGGGTGTTTCCCGCCTGCGGATCATCGCACCATTCATGCACGCTCTCTAGCGCCTCGTCCGTGTGAACGCTGCCCACGTATCTACCGGAGTGTTCCCGGAGTGTTTGGTCCTTGTCCGCCCTGTAGCCCTTCATCTGCAAAACACAGGGCAGATATAGTATCAGAATACTGAACAAAGTTTGATGTATAAGTTAAGTGTGATGCAAATGGTAATGTAATGTCTCCCGCCCCTCTGCCGGGGTGTTCAGTCTCTCTCTCGTCGTCTCGGTGCTCTCCGTTCTCTCGGGGTCGTCGTCGCGATCTCTCCCTCCTCCCTCTCTCTCCCTCTTGGGCGGGGGCTCTCTCTCTCTCTCTCTCTCTCTCCTCTCTCTCTCTCTCTCTCCCCTCTCGACCCTCTCCCTCCCCACTACAAAAGCTCGCAGCCGTGTCTTACCTGGAACCAGCCACAGAGGGCAGATCTTTACAGTCCATGTCAGCTCTACTGTCCAGTATCCGTCGCCGAAATTGTTTGCGTAGTGGAAGGCTTGCTACTAGTATCGCTAGTCGTCCACCAGGTAGGGGTGCCCTTTGCATGATAGGTGATACGTATTGGTTCGGGTCCTTGTAGACAGCTGTGAAGGGAGTGAGCTCGAATTGACTAGTTATCGCCGATAGAGGGAGTGCGTAGCGCCAATACTCTAATCATACGTTTATTCGTTCACAACCAGAGAGCATTAAGTACAAGAAGATTGGTGCTGGGCACGGCTTTTGCTGGTTGGATCGGCGTGAGGCGCTGCGCGCGGATGAGACGCGCGGAGGGAACCATTGTTAATAGGGTGAATACATGGGTTTATCATCGAATAAAATTGCTATGATATCATCATGACATCAGACGGAGATAATCCAAGAAAGACTACATCGGATTCCGCAATATTCCAAGTTAATCTAAATACACACATCGACGGTTACCGTTACCTTGTGTTTTATCTTCCTGACCCCAGTCCAGATGCAAATCGTTGACCTTCCAGATGTTGTAGCTGGTGGAGTAGGGAGAGTCACACACGTGTGAGATAGGAATAGCAGCTGTGGGCCCAACAACGGAAGAAACAAGAATTAAGAAGAATGTCAGGGAGAAGATTAATAGAAGACGCGCGGCGGCGACGACGACGATGATGATGGTCTGACGATTATAATAGTTTCTGCTGCTACTGGTGTTACTGCTGCTGCTACTATACTACTTGTTATACGCTACTTGCTCGCGTATACTACTATATATGCTACTATATACAGTTGTTGCTACTGCTGCAACCGCTGCGGTCGCTGCTGCTACTACTGCTGCTGCTGCTGCTGCTGCTGCTGCTGCTGCTGCTGCTTTGGCTGCTGCTGCTGTTGCCGGTGCTGCTGTTGTTGCTCCTGCTATTGCTGTTGTTGTTACTGCTACTGCTGCTGACGATAATAACAATGACAACGATGACGATAACGACGACGACGCTGACGATGGAGACGTATATACAATAATGTTAGATCTTGTTTGTGACTTACAGAGCCGTCGTTCGCGACCTCCGGATGAACACCTCTCCATGCGGAAGTAAACGATTTCTTTCTTCAGCATGATTATTGTCCTCTCGGCCAGCGACGTGCCAGCGACCGCCAGCAGCAAGCAGAGTGTAGACACGTACGACATGTTGTTGTTGGTGTTGTTGTTGTTGTTGTTGTTGTTGTTGTTGTTGTTGTTGTTTTTCACCTGAAAAAAACAGTCAGGTATATATACATACATACATATAAATAAATAAATAAATAAATAAATAAATAAATATATATATAGTATGTGTGTGGTGTGTGTGTTGTGTGTGTTGTTGTGTGTGTGTGTGGTGTGTTGTGTGTGTGTGTGTGTGTGAGTGTGTGTGTGTGTGTGTCGCGCGTGTGTGTTGTGTGTGTCTGTCCGTGCTGTACGTGTGTGTGTGTGTGTGGTGTGTGTGTGTTTGTGTGATGTGTGTGTGTGTGTGTGTGTGTTTGTGTGTGTGTATGTGTGTGTGTGTGTGTGTGTGCGTGCGTTGGTGTGTGCGTGCGCGTGTGCGCGCATGTGGCTGTATGTGTGTGTATGTGTATCTGTGTGTCTGTGTGTCTGTGTGTCTGTGTGTCTGTAGATGTGTGCCTGTGTGACTGTGTGCGTGCGTGCGTGCGTGCGTGCGTGCGTGCGTGCGTATGTGTGTGCATGTGTGTACGCGTATCTTTTATTAAAGATAGATAAGACTATAGGTATTAGATACGGATATGGGTTATAGACCTACCTAATAGTTTGCACTCACAGAAACGACGGACACACGATCCTAGCGAATTGAAGAGTGACTGGTCCACAAGGCAGCAGCGAAGTCCGCAGTGTAAATGCCCTACCTCTCCTATAACTCCTACCTATATATATATACCTGTCCAGGGCACCATGCATTCACTCGATCACGTGATTGCCTTCCAGCGAAATGTTTACGGTAATGTTTCGCACATCCTGTTTCCTGTATCGAGTTACCGAGAAAATGCGAGCAGACAGGTGTACGTAGGTTGGCAGGTATAGGGTGCGATCCGCTTTAACGAACATGGTGGAAGTATGTGTGTGTGTGTGTGTGTGTTTGTGCGTGCGTGTGCGTGTGCGTGTGCGTTGCGTGTGCGTGTGCGTGTGCGTGTGCGTGGTGCGTGTGCGTGTGTGTGTGTGTGTGTGTGGGCGCGATGTGTGTGTATGTTGGACTGTTTGCGTAGCGGGAGTGTGTGTGAATGTGTCTAGTATACTTTACACCCCACTCTACTCCACAGGCACGCCAGATTAAGCAAGTAAGTAAATGATTTAATGAATTTTTAATAATGCCAAGACATATAATGGCTTCTGTACACAAATAAATCGAAGAGGCCAAGATACACACACACACACACACACACACCACACACACACACCACACCACACACACACACACACACACACACACACACACACACCAACCGAATGAACCAACGACTGGACAGGTATATATTTTCTATTACGAACTAATTCAAACCCTTTGCAATCAATCGAAGCCCAAAACAGAGCACACCACCTAACTAGAAAACACCTTTTCGTCACGCGTGTAATTTTCCCGTAATCGTCCGGAGTACGATGGTTAGACAGATTAGCTGTCAGTCTAGGAAAATATAGTGACTCATACGAACAGGTTAGTGTAGGCCTCAGCGTGGGCATTGCCTTCTCGCTATACCGGATTCTAAGAGTGCCTAATACGCGCATACCACGCGTGTATCGATGCTTTCTGGAACGGCGCGACCTTAGCCTCTGGGGGAGGGGGGCTAGGTGTGCAGCGCGCCACACTATGCACGTTAACTGGTTCTAATATCTAAATTGTTTGTTAATGGTGTCTGTCTCCGAGTGTCCTTTTTATGTGCATATTGTGTGCTGTGTGTGTGTGTGTGTGTGTGTGGTGTGTGTGTGTGTTGTGTGGTGTGTGGCTGTGTGCGTGCGTTGTGTTGTGTGCGTGCGCGTGTGCCGACTGGCGCGTGGTATCTGCTGAATTATTGTCTCACTGGACGGAGATATTATATCTGAGATATAGCGTACGGATCGAGAAATTATACGCACGTTAAACGCTCACGTGTTTCGGGAATACAAACAGTAAGCCTCCGCCAAATTGTTACGCACTATTTCGGTTCTATTAAGGCAGTTTTTTTTGCCATTTTTTCGGGTTAAATTCGGTCACTAGCTGTCTCTTTGCGTTTGCACGCAGGTTAGATGCCTCGTTGGGCGGTCTAGAAAGCATTAGAAGTAAGTTGGTCTTGTGTGTAGCTGTGACATTCCGTCATGTGGAGTAGCCATGATGACCGTTTGGTCATTTTTGTGTTTGAAATTTGACCGACTACTTTGTAGAAATTCGCATCATAGAGCTGGCAAAAGTTTCAAGCGGAGCATAGAGCAGGAATCTGTAGTTATTTAACAGGAATAAAGTGTATGTTGTGAATGAGATGAAACAGTGTGAGTATTTTTAATTAATTTCTGTCCAATGTTTATTCATGCCTGCTGCCTATGGACGCCTTCTACTGCTGTACAACACGTGTAACGTGCGTATGACGTGAAACGTGTATATGTATGTGTGTGTGGGGGGGGGGTTCCCGCATCATCCGGGCGAAAACTTCACTGGACGTGAATGTTACAGACGGATTAGCTGTCTGGTCACGTATTTCGTTCCCTTCTACAGCAGATGACCCGAATCAGACAACAGAACGTCTCTCTACATAGCATCTCTTTATTTCTGACTTGGTTTGGATCACTCCTCGGCTGACTCCCTTTCCTTGGCTGGTTCAGCATGGTTAGACCTTTGCAGACTTCGCCGTTGGAGTCACAGGCGTACGCCAGCCCCCACTCGACGGCAACGTGGTGATCCGGGTCGTGGGGGACCAGGGACGCAAATCCATTTTAAAAAGTGTGGGGGGACCAGACGTCGTTCAAGAGCCTGCGAGGGAGCGAAGCGGCCGGGGGAAGCTGGGAGTGGGGTATCCCACGTCCAACGGTAGTCTATTCTAAAATTTTAGCTATGCTGAATACTTGTACCAGGCGGTAATATACTGGGTTTCATATGCCCAGTATCTGTTAAAATAACGAGTATTTGGACGAATATATACACGTACGTGTATCTGAGAGACTGCTGCGAGAAACACTCTGTCCTGGGTACCCTGCAGGCTAGGGCGTCGTACCGTCTTTTACCAGAGGCATGGCGATGGATATTTATCGCAGAAATCTACTCGTGGGTAGCCCGGCTCCATTTTAAATATGTTCTAAACTAAAAATATGAATCAATCAGTTAGCCACTGCGCATGTGCGAACCTTGATTTTAGACTTCAGCATAGCTAAAATGCTAGAATACTTGCTAATCTACCAGACGGTAATATACTGGGTTGCATATGCCCAGTATCCGTTAAAATAACGAGAATTTCAACGAATATATACAGGCACATGTATGTGAGAGACTGCTGCCAAAAAACAGTCTGTCCGGGGAACGCTGCAGGCTAGGGCGTCGTATCCTCTTTTACCAGAGGCATGGCAATGCACTGTTTCAGACGTGCAGTACAGCAAAAGGAAAAGTACGTAAGTATAGCTTGCTGAGGAAGAGAGGTGTGGGAAACTAAGGGAAGGTGGCAGGAAAGACAGTCGAGGGGCGGTGGAATGAGAAGGAGGCTGAGCGTGCGACAATGGAGACAACGGGAAGGGCGGGCGCGCGGGAATAAAGTAGGAGTTTTGCTCCCTACAGGCTAGGGCGCTCTCCTATCTATAAACCAAAGTCTACTGATAATAATTTATTACAGAATTCTATGTGGAGATACCCCCTGACCGAACTAAATGCATTCTCATCACAAAATATAACTCCTCTGATAAGATATTGCGCATGCGCTAAAACAGTAACGTAGCCAGGTTATGTACTGACTTGTATATGCAGCGGGGACCTTACATGCAAGGTCTGCTTCCTATTTCTGAAGTGAGATCTACTAATAAAATTTTATCATATAAATCTATGCTAGGATAACCCCTCTTCATTTTAAATTATTAACGTTTGCAAAATATTCGTCTTCTCGGGAGATATTGCGCATGCGCGAGCACCGTTTTAGACGTGCAGTAAGGGCAAAGGAGGAAAAGTACGTAAATATAGCTTGCTGAGGGAGAGAGGGGTGGGAAACTAAGGAAAGGTGGCAGGGAAGACAGTCGAGGGGCGGTGGAAGGAGACGGAGGCTGAGCGTGCGACAATGGAGACAAAGGGAATGGGCGGGCGGGGATAAAGTAGGTGTTTTGCACCCTACATCCCCTGTAGCTATATCCCTACATCCCCTATATCCTCGGCTAGAGCGCTCACCTAACTATAAACACAGGTCTACTGATAAGAATTTATTGCAGAAACCTATGTTGAGATATCCCCTGACCATACTAAATGCATTTTCATCTCAAAATATAACTTCACTGATGAGATATTGCGCATGCTTTGCGCATGGTCAGTTAGGAAACCTGTGCATGGCTCAACGAAACACTGCTCGAATTTGTGACCACATCAGAGCCGACATACGCAATGGGGGAGCGTGCGTGCGTGCGTGCGCGTAGGCGGGATGCAGAAATTCACACTTACAGTTTGCTTTGAGCATGAAGCATAAGAAGTATCGATATCAGTTGTTGTTATATATAATGACCACCGTGTCTACGGATCGGACAGATAAGGGTATGTCGCGCCATCTATCGGTTCTCAGAAACGTAATCTTAACGAATTGTAGCGATTATTTCAGTCTTATTTGAAAAATCTTCGGAGCACCAAAACTGTCAATACCTTTGCTAGGCATCTCATTTGCACCGATATATTTTCCTATAAACTGACGGCTCCGTTATTTATCAACGCTAATTGCATGAGATAAGTGCTTGCCAACGCCACGGTGGCGTGCAAGTCAAGACAGAAATGTTAGCACCATTACATTATAAACATGATATTCCTACTCAGTTATGCGTAATATAATGATGATCTAACGCGCATATCAACAAATTCATATTTTTTCAACCCATATACAAAGATGCAGGGTGCGGAAACGATGGTACAGTAGTGAATGTAAAACAGATATGCATGCCTCATTTTAATTCGCATATATATATATCCTTCTGCTCTAGTTATAGTTGCAAAATGGAAACTTTTTCTACTGTAATCCGCAGTGTTGATCTATCAATTTGATCAATTGATGTATTATATAGCACCTTTTATTTCTCAAGTAACAACGTGCTTCGTGAAAAACGTATCGTGTGCACGCTCTGTGAAAGTTCACTTTGCTCGCACCATCCCGCGACAATTCTCCCTACCTTTGCTAATGTACATATATATATAGGGATGGCGCTGGCATGTCATCATTATACATTATAGCTCTGGATTACTTTGAAACTGCCTATAGGGAACCACATGCACTTAGCCATCACGAAGCTCATTAGAGTGGGTAATTGTAGCAGTAACAAGCCAATAGCATTAGCAGAAAGCAGTAAAAACCACAACCTTTATGTTATAACGCCATAATCACACGTATTCCCCTCGCTACTCCATCAACCTCCTTTTCTCCCCCCTCCCCCTCGCGCCTACGAGCGAGAGTAGCTATCGATTATTTATGTCTGGCGTACACGTGACCAACGAGTCGTCGAGTCGCCCAGCAGCCACAATATCAACAACGCTCTCGGAGCAGTCGCTCTAATTTTCCACGAAATATATTCACCATGTCAACGAAAAATCAACTGAGGAACATTCTAGGACCGTCGGTGGTCAATCGAGCGGGAGAGAGCGTCGATCTGTGTCAGTACAACGCCAACGGAAAGGTGATAGGTCTGTACTTTTCGGCACATTGGTGCTCGCCTTGTCGTGCGTTCACCCCCGTGCTCGTCGATTTCTACAACGAATTGAAGAAAAGCGAAAGCGGTGCCGATCTGGAGATAGTGTTCGTCAGTTCTGATCGCGACCAGAGCAGCTTCGACGAGTATTTTGCCGAGATGCCATGGCTCGCCGTTCCGTTCCAGGAACGCGATCGGAAGGTAAAACATGCCGCAACGCTGTAGCGTGTACGCGAAGTAGCGTCAGGTGTTAGGGCGATAGCAACTTGGCAAACACGCGGGGGTGAGGGTGCAGCTATTCGACGCAGAGAATTCACGGTGCCGTTACTGTTCACTAAGCTAAAGAGAGTTGAATTTTAACTTGTGTAGGCAAGTAAATTATAAGCCGTTCAGTACGACATCTGCTAAGCTAGGCCTACCATACAGTAAAGAAGTGCATGATGAAGGCACGATGGGTTATTTTTCATACCTTGCCTCCCCCGGCCACCCCTATACTCAGGCACTTGAAGCGTTTCAATAAAATATATACGCAGGGGTCGTGTGCTGTGCACGGCGACAGTTAAATATAAAGCTAATATTTAACTGT